AATTGGTGATCGGGTATAATTCTGTTTTGGTCCAGGACTGGTTTTAGTCTCCGCAGAAGAGTTTTTTCAAAAACCTTAGATATTGTTGGGAGAAGACTTATAGGCCTGTATGAGCTAGGTTCTGTTGGGGGTTTCCCTGGCTTTACAATCATAATTATTTGTGATATCTTCCATAGCTTTGGGTAGTACTGTATTCTAAAAATGGCATTGAATAACATTGTTAAAAGTACTATTGCTTTTCTAGGTAGTTTTTTTAAGGATTTCACCCGTTATTAGGTCGAAACCAGGAGCCTTTTTGTTTTCCAGATAGCTTATTGTGCGCGTTAATTCTTGTGGAGTGACAAGTTTTAGCGGTAGTGATAACTGCTGGTCACTGTTGATCATTCTATCCACTTCCTCTTCAAACTCAGTCATGGATGATTGGTTTGGTTTGAAGACTTCGCTTAGGTGTCTAGCGAAAAGTTCAGCTTTTTCACTGCCGCTCCTAGCCCACGGATCGTTCGTAGATATCCTTATAGGTGGTATAATACACCAAGGGGTCCTAGTTTCGAGTGAAGCCAGTTGTCACGCTGGTCTAATGTGGCATCAGACGCAATGTCAGCCAGTGACGATCGTCACAGTCCTATCGCTTTCACTGAGAGCTAGCCTGCTGCACAGTAGAGTACGCAGTCCATACAAATTTCTTATAAACATTATACTTTTTACTCAGTAGTAGTACAGAAAATAAATTTCTAGTACTACAAAAAGTTAAGACAATTTCTTTGAAGAATCTTGGATGAATATTTTTCTTAGACTTAGTCTTGCTGTTGAGAGCCCGATGGACTTTATGAATTATTTGTTATTGCTATCTGATAGAACACTGCTTTTTTACAAAAACACATTAATTTTATCTCCTACAAATTTACCCTTAAATTAAACATACATAACTAATTTACATAATACTGTAAGTGTCTTTATGTACATATTTGAATCTTGTATAGATTGAAAACTACACAATTCACTGTTCAAGGTTGACAGTTGTCCTTATGACAATATTTGCTATGCAAAAAAAATTAATTGCAAAATTTAAAATATATTATGTTTTTCATAGTAGAGAGTAAAACCTGAAACTAAATTTAAATCTATACAATTTATGGGGCTTAGAATTGGACCTCTTTATTTTTTGCTTATAGGGTATAAAACATTACAACATAATGTCTTGCAAATCATAGCTAGTCAAATACATTTGCTATAATATGCCAATGGGTGTTTTTGATGTGGTTATAGTGGTACTGCAAAAGATGGTTACAGTGGATATTACTTACTTGATTCTCTGACTAGGAGCGTGCATTGTGTGTAGGGTGTGTAAACACATTTCAACTTTGGTATAAAATGATGGTTAAAGTGCATTTAATGTGTTGTTGCATTTGATGCAGTTTTATTAATTGTAATGTTATATTGTGTTGATATATATATATACTATACATATATATCAACAGTTATTTTAAATAATTTATGCTTTTTCACATAAAACAGAAATTATAACATACATATTATAATTTAATAATTGTGGCCTTTATACACCTTTGTAAGCAATTAGTTTTGGGAGAGCCGTGTAAGAAAAAAATGTGTAGGAAACATGAAAAATACAAAATGATTAAAATTGTTTACATGAGTTAAATTGGCTTTTTTATAAATTTGATTTACTTAACTCAATGCATTATTCAATGTGGCCCACTCATTCGGAAGCAATTTATGCACATTTATACTGCAAAATACAAGTAAGTAGTTGTATTTTAAAATATTCCTAACCATTTAAGGTATGTATGCATGACTAAGGTGTGTACAAGAGATTGTGTCATGCATTGTTAGGCTAATTAAGATACTTTTGTCAATTTCTTTAAATAAAAAGAAGGTCATATATCTCCTGGATTTACAGGATTTTCTTAATTTAACTTAAATTATATAGTTACTGTAACCATGTTATGTATTACTAATGACCCATACATATGCTATTTCAAATGTTTTTGACACCCCTTAAGAGAGAATAATAGTTTAACCAATGCTTATTACGTTAATGAAACATCTGAACCATCACCAGTATATTTAAAGTAAGCCTTTTCATGGGATCCTTGAAGGTAAGTGAAATTAGATGAAAATTAAAATGATTTCTGTATCTATTTTTTGATCATATTTTTAAAAAATGGGCAAGTAGGTCATCAGCCTTCTGTGTCTGTCTAGTTGTCTTTCTGCCTCTTTCTGGCCTGTTTCCTTTGTCATTAGTGCAGGGTTTGAACCTCTGACCTCAGGAGCATTGCATGCTGAAGCCACTAGGGTAACAATCTTCAAATAGTTATCTATTATTTGGTCAGTCTAACTTTAACATGTCATGTGAAGCAATTGTATATATTTGAAAGTGTTTCTTAAGATTTTCAGTATGTACTAGAATAGTTTATTAACCTTACCTAAGTGGCTTTAACTACTGTGACTTAGTATAAAAAGTTTGGTGGGGGTCATTGTTTGAGGTGTCATCTGGTTTTAATCAATCAAAACATGGGCTTATAACATAAAATTAGGGGTAGTGGAGTCGTGATGCTGGATTAAGAAAAACTGTAATTTTACTTATTTATGGGTTCTTAAAACTAAGTGTAACATATCTGTTACCCATAAAGAATATAAGTGTAATTGGACATTATCGGAAGGGAGAATGTTATATTACAATTCATGAATGCATGAAAACTAAAGGCTCATTCATTACTACCAAAAGTGAAGTTTTAGAATTCATTGACAACAAGTGTACAATGATTGCTAACATTTGGTTTGCGCTTCTAATTATTAACTAATATATATATATATATACATATATGTAACTAAAGTTATGTGAGTTCCTTATTACTAAACCAAATAGAGTAGGATTTGATATGTAGTGCTTGCTAGTTGTGTCTTCAATATAGAATACTTATGTGGGTACAACTTTTGCATATAATTTCAATGTCGTTTTCAACCCACTCACTTCCCACATTGAAACAATGGCCTATACATTACAGATTTATTGTATGGATCATTGGTTAAACGTTTTTAATTTTTTATTTTTTTGCGCAAAATCATTGTAATTCCAGTGATAGAAGACTATGTAAAGATGAAAATATCTTTTTTTTTTCGTGAGACAAATGTGCGTGTTTATTGAATGAACACATTGCTGTTTGGCTTAGTATTTAACACTATATTTATAAACATTACATACATACATTTTATTCTGTAATACTAAAAAGTAGTTATATATATATAATATAGTAATTTTTAAAACATTTTGGAGTTAATTTGTTTGAAAATAATTTATGTTCTAGTCTGATTTTCGTTTTTAATTACTTAAAAGGTTTTGTCATATTTATAGGTTCTTGTTTCTCGCTGATATTAAAGTGTGGGTGAAAGAATTTTCTAAATGTAACATCAAATTCTGTTCTTATTATTTTATACTAGCGCCTATATAACCTTGAATACGACCTTCCTCATGGACCATTCGAGATATTGCTGAAATAAATTCCGTCCAGAACTTTTGGAGTTCCTCGAAATAAAAGGCATTAACAAGCTCCACCTCCAGAACATACCTCTCATCGTTAAGACAGCTGCAAATCCGACTACCACGACAGTCTTTTCATTCGTGTTCAGCCTATGTCACAAATACCATTACCCCCTGTTATATCACAAAATGTAACTCTTTATAATATTAGTAACCTAACCTAACTTATTTAATTGTTAAGTGAGTTTCATTAAATAAAATCACGTGGGATATTTACATAAACAAAACCATAGACAAGATAAATGAAAGTTAATGTCTTGCTTTTGAGTTAGAAAGTTATCTTGCTCGTTATGCTAAGTATTTAAAAAGTATTTCGTGGTAATACGAGTGTGTTTGAAATAAAATAATATATTTCATAATAATTATCGTAATTTAATAAGATTTAATTTTTTTTATACTTAATAAATGGCTTTTATTTCTGATACTCTTACACTCAAACACATTTATATTTATATAATCACATTAATTCCTTGGTATCTGTGAGCCCCTTTTTGGCAAAGGCCTCCTCCAGATCCCATAATTCCTGTCTGACTGTACCACTCTCTGCGGTTTCCTTGGTTTATCCAGCTTCTAAATTGTCTTCTTTTGCGTTTATTGTACCTTGGGTACCGGTTTAATAGTTCTCCACTTTCTGTTCCTCTTGCCATGTGCCCCGCCCATTTTCACCATCTGCTACTTTAGTTGTTTCTTCTATTTGTTTTCTATAAAACTGTAATACATCATATTGCTCTATTGTCAATAGTTTCCGCAGCATATAGGAATATTTATTGGTCTTCTTCATTTGGGTTACACTATCGTAATTTCATATACTAACTTTTTTGATATATATACCCTATGTACAACTCAGTCCCATAGTTTCGAAGCGTAATAATGAACTGCTGTATCGTGATGAGGAGGAATGGTTGCAGGTGCTTATAAGCCTTTAAGAGTGACGAAGAGTGTATTGCCTATTCTTATAGTAGATTGAATTACCTATGAATACATGATATTTTGAGTGTGCTGGCTATACTCCAACAGTCAGCCTGGCGCCGTTATATGGGTCGAGGAAGTTCTTCAAGAAATTTTAAGTGCGTATATATATATATGTATGTATACTGTATATAAATATATATATGTTAAAACGAGGACGAGCTACAAAAAACTATACCAAATCATAGGAAGCGGTCAGGATTATAATATAAAGCCATTGAAATAATAAAAAAACCTCAGGGCCTCAGATTTCTGTATCTGTTTCATGATTTGTTGATGTAATAGGCAAGTGGGAGATCAGCCTCCTGTGCCTGACACACGCCGACTTTCCTTCGTGCGAGCGAATGTTAAATGCGCATTAAAAGTGCTGTGGTGCACAGCCGGGGATCGAACCTACGCTGAAGCCACTAGGGCAACACTGCTCAGAAATAAATAATTTTAGTAATTATATATATATGTTAAGCTCAACTTGATGACGGCTGGACAATTTCGAGTATTTTTTCTTGGATATTTTAAGGATAGAAAAATTGCTTTTGCAATTGAAAGTCATGATTTATGGTTGCCCATGCAAAGCCAGGGCTTCAAAAGAGGGTGTGAGTTAAGGTTGGTAAAACTCGGCGAAGGGTCTTTATGGAGTTGCTGTATATGTCATATAAATAATCTTTTATTACATTAATTCATTCATTCAGTCACCATTTGATTTTTTGCCTTTAACCAACAAAGCTGCTCCTAAAAAGGAAGCCATACATCCAAGGATAAAAGAGATATGGGTAACTTGCAAAGGTGGAAAGGGAGGAGCAATGAACCCATCCACTTAAAGGAGCCCATGGGCTTGGCTCTTCTACTCTAGCAGTTTTTTTTATATAATAGCCTTCTGAGGCATGCTGGTGAGCGAGTGTTAAATGCGGACATGGAAAGTCCATTGGTGTCTGTTCCACGATCTCAGGGATGAGGAAGAAGTCACCAGACCATCGAAGGAGCCAGCTGCCCAGCTGACTTACAATCCTTCAAGAGTGTACCAATTCTTAAAATCTCTCGTGATCCCTCTGGCATTGTCCATGGGCTGTATCACTTAATATCAGGTGAATCTCCTGCCCGATTGCTCCCCCCCTGTTCTATAAAAAAAGACAAGCAGAGCTTCTTCTGCTATTACCTATATGTATTATATATATTATAGGAATTTCGTCATACATTCGGAGTCATGATTACGATGAGTCAATGTGTATTGTTGAAGAGACCGTTGAAGGTCACACACGCCTACGCTATTATACTCGAGATGTAAAACGAACAAGTTAAAGTTCGTTAATTCCGAGGCCACGGTCCCGTTAATCCTTTAGACTTAACAACGAGTTAATGAAATTGAAAGTGACGTCAGTTGCGTACGCGCATGCACAAGCTCAAGTACGATATGGAATATTGCTCACATATCTGGACCGGTTCTCCCAAATACCAGCTATTTCCTTCAAATTCAGAGAAGGGCTTGTCGAATTGTCAATCTACGCAGATAGATATATTGCCTCTCTCTGCGTATTCTACTATGGAGAGTGTTCTGAGGAGTTTTTTGGGTTAATCCATCCTGCCTCTTCATCACATTACGAGCCGTGTTAACTCCTAATTTCATCCGCTTCACCTTCGCTGGAAGTCTTCCACGGTTCACAAGACATTTTATTGTGCGAACTAGCGAACTGTGGAATCGATTTTCGGTGGAGTTCTTGGAAGATACGACCTCCAACAGTTTAAAGAAAGAATAAACCACTCCCTCAAAGTCCGGCAACGCACCCACTTAAATGGGTTGCCATGGGCCGCGATGACTGCCCTTACTATAAACACAAATGTTAGAATTTTGATAGTGAAATGTGATTGGTAGCTTGTACGAAATGAAGTTTTCTGTTTCGGTACGTTTGAGGGTGCAACCAAGTTTTTTTACGGTTCAAACCCACGTCTTTTTAATTTGATGTATGTATTTTTATTAGTATGTCAGTATCAACATTGTCCAATTGAAATACACAAGAAATCGATAGTTTGTGTTATTAAAAGAAGAAGTAAAAGATAGTGGAAGAGGTTACAATGAAATCTTTTCAGATTTCTGTTTCTTAAGCAAGTACGGCAAGTATTACTGAAGGTCTTGTTGGTGTTGCATATCTTCCTCCACTCCCACTTTGGCAAGCCTATGTGATATGGCCTGCAAGGACCTTAACTCGGTCACTCCAGCGAGTCCAGCGGGGTCTCGTCTTCCACTCTACTGGTCACAAGCTTCTCCGAGTTATTGGGACCACCATGCTATATGTCCAAATGAAGAAGGACGGGTGAAACTTGTAGTTGTCTGACATTCGTCCTTTTAACTATCCAGGGTTCACGTTAGCCGGATTACGCGTTAAATTGACCTCATTATCGTCAAAGCCGGTTAAAATATTTCCAAAACAAGAAACTAGTTATAAATAATTAATATTAAACAATTGCTTATATGGCGATGAATCGCGTGACCGACGCGTGCGCAACGAAATCAAAAGTTAATATTTAAATTGTTTTCGCTTGTTATTTAGCATTTTTGATCTATTTTAAAGTTTTTAATAATAATTTATGTAAATATTTTTTGTGGCTCCAGGTTTGATGGCTGATGAAATATTATATTTTTCAGGGGAGCCGAACTCGGTGATGTCAGCGTGTTGAGGAAAATGCCCAATGTTGAAGTTCTAGCGTTCAGGTAATGTTGTAACTAGTTATAGCCGATGAGTTAAGATAACTAATTTGACAGTTAATATTTATATATATATAAATATGTCTTCAAGACTATAGTAATATGATAAATAACAAATGTACACTCTCGACTCGACAAAATCCCGAGCTGCGCTATCAGGACCTCAGCCGCCTTTGGGCCAGTCAGTAGTTAGGCTAATCGAGGATCCTCTTTAGGTTGGAGGATCTATTGCTAGATGTGCTCTGGGGTTCCAGCATTAATTCGGTAGCACGAACTTCTACAGCCTAAAGCTTTAACTTTAACCATAGACTTTTAAATCAACACTTTTTGAAAGCTATTGCTGTCTTCTATAAAACTGTAGTACATTGCTCTGTTGTCAATAGTTTCCGCAGCATAGGAATCTTTATTGGGCTTTTTCACACCTTGAAAATATATTCCACAGCCTATGTTCTATGTTCAGGAAATTAAGTCCTGTCTAGACGGAAGGCTAGATATTGTATAGATGCCCTAGAGGTTCAATAACCTGGCTCTCGGCCTCTAAGGCCTTGATTGGGTATTTGGACGGAAATTGTAATTCTCCTCACCTCAATTGTGCTATTACGAAGTGAAAAATACAGTATTTTTAAGAGTATTCTGTATAGAATAACTTTTTAGATTAAAAAAAAGGATTTATACGTCAGTCACGTGACACAAAATGGTCACAGCTTAGTGGAATTGAGCAAATTAATTGAGACTGTTTTTGATCGAAATAATATATTTCTGTAATTTAAGAATGACGATTAACACGTAGAAAACTTGACAGTTGACTGGAACGACGCCATCTTGCTTCAAAGCGTTTTGGCGGGTTCATGAAATTATTTCTTAATTTAAATTTCTTAATTTACAGAATTAAATAACAATTTGTATAGATTCTACAGTAATAATAATAAGTTTATTTCCATAATATAAAAATTACAAAATAATACTCTATTAATCATTTTTGTGTTATACTGTATAACTTATACACTTAGTGGTATTATGGATCTGTTCTTTGCTTCCTCCATCCATCTCTCCCCAGAAACCTTTAGGATGTCGTCAGCCTATTTCTTGTTCTTGGAGGTCCATCTTTTGTCTGTACACCTTGCAATACGGCCTGCCCGCTGCTAGGTGTCAGGCGTGGGTTAGCGAGTCTGTGAACTTAGGTTTCGCCCTGATGTGTTCACTTCGTATTTTATTTATTAGTTTATCTATGTTGTGACAGTTGTCAAAGGGGCATAAGATTGCCATTCGGCAAAGTTTGAAATTCGAACATGGATCGTCAATCGGTTATTGGCTATTGCAAATTCGCTGATTGTTCAATTAACGTAGACACGCTCTGATTGGCTTAGGCCTTGCGGCTCGGGAAATGCGCTATTATAGCGAGTGTTATGTAATAAAGAGGAATAGAAAAGTGGAGCCGGTATTAAACTGGTGCCTAAGGTACAATAAACGCAAAAGATTAAAACAATTTAGAAGCTGGATAGATCAAAGAAATAGCAGGGACATGGCAGAGTGTGGCACAGTACAGTACAGATATAAATACAATGAAATATAAGAGAGTTTAAAATGAAATTCGGCATTTTTCAGCATTAACAAGATCCGTACGCTGGTGGACTTTGCGGGGTGTCGCCGCCTTCGTGAGCTGTATGTTAGGAAGAATGAGATCCGGGATTTAGCTGAGATCAGGCATTTGAGACGTCTTCCTGATCTGACGAACCTCTGGCTGGATGAGAACCCTTGTACGAGACATTCAGAGTGAGTAGCTTCGTACTTATGTTGCCCTGGTACCTTAACTCCTTACCTCTGTTAACGCATTTTTACTATGTTTTACTAAATATTTACTAAATATATTTCCGTTATATTTTGTTATTTTACTATAACTGATTAAAAGCTACACACATTTGGGGAGGTTAACTTATGTTTTTATATTTATGATTTCTGGTCATCGAAAGACTGTGTTTGTCAAGTTTTTAAAGGTAGGTAAGAATTGACACTTGTTTTAGGAATAAAATTTTGCTCTTATTGAGCATTGTTGGCTTCAGCGTGCGACTCTCATTGCCGAGGTAGTAGGTTCGATACCCGGTTGTGCGCATTAACATTAGCTCAAACGCTGAAGGAAAACATCGCGATGATACCGGCTTTCCTTAGACCTAAAAAGTCGACATGAGTCAGGCAGAGGAGGCAGATCACCCTACTATTTTTTTTTAAATATTTAATTCGAGCTGGTGGGGTTTTTTGCTTGCTCAAAATTGCTGCTGTATGAAAATCCGTCCTTTTCAGGTACAGAATGACAGTACTTCGTAATCTTCCGAATCTGGAGAAGTTGGACAATGTTCCCGTTAGACCTGAAGAGGTATGAAAATGAATAATTGATAAATAGAAATTGACAAACTGAAAAATGGTCTCTGTTTACCTTTAATGCTGGCTTTTCCTACTTTGTAGCCACGTTATTTGTGACGTAGGCTTTTTCCGTACGCTTTATGATTAGAGATATTTTCGAGAGGTGGAGCTTGACAAAATGCCTTTTAAATGAATGGTTCATGGGGAGGTAAAGGTGTTCAAGGTTTGCGGGTTGCCCTCGAGAAGACAGAGTTGGCTTTAGATAAATTGTTTTCACTATATATGAGATCCACACGTCCGTTTGCAGGTCCAAGAGGCGATGAGACGCGGCATTCATATACCAGATTCTGATGATGAAGGGTATCCTCAGCAAGTAAGTCTTATTTTTAATCGACTTAAAAGGAATGTGATATTGGAGGATCGTTTATCTAGACTAAAGTGTAAATTCTGTAAGTAATTAACTTGATGTTCGGGGTTAGAACGCACGAAATGAGCTTATTAGGAAATAAAAAAGGTAAATAATCTACCCTCAAATGTTTAATGTAATATTTCAGCAAGAGCAATACCGCCAGTACCGGACCGCGAGGTCGTGCGAGTCGAGCCCCGAGAGGGAACCCGAGTATTATCAACCGCAGAGCGCAAGGGAGCAGGTAATAAATTTTTTTTTTTATAAAAAATGTCTTGAGGTATTTAATTATGCACTCGCGTTTAGTTTCGTTTTCATCCCTCTCCCCTCCCCAAGAAATATGAAGGTGCAGAAGAAACAGAAACTATCCCAGGTAGGTACTACACGCGGAGAATCCCCCTCTAGGCGCCCTGCGCCGAGACCCTCAGCGTCGGCTGTACTTCGCCTTCTGGCTTAACATCAGGTGAGCCTTTTGCCCCCTGTTCTATAAAAAATAATGAGTTGAGTTCTAAATCGGTTCCAAGTTATTTGTGGCTAAAATTACTTGGCATATTTAATATTTTTGTATTTTTGGAATTAAAATTAGCTATAGATTTAACATGCTGTGCTTAGATTGTGGTTAATTTTAACTAACAAATGCGCTAACGAAGCATTTTCAACTAAGCATATATACCTACAACTTCTCGACCTAAGCCTGGCAAAAGCCTCCACCGGGGAAGGCGTGGTTCCTTATTTCAATCAATCTAGTGAGCTTCCGAGCTGCCCTTCAGGTTATCGTCTGCCCGGCCGCGGCGACGACCCAAGCACGAGTGTCGGAGTGTGTATGTTCATACTAATATATATGTATGTGTGTGTCAGGGAAGCGATGGTTCCGTCGAAGAAAGCTCTGAACCGAGATCTCCGCTCGCGCCCACGGTTAGTATATAACATTATTAATTAAAAGTCCGGCAACGCACTCGTGAACCCTCTGGGTCAGTCCATAGCCCATTATAGAAAAAAAAAACATATTATAATGACGTAACAGTGTTCTCTTTCTTCCTAGTATTCACCAGAGGGTCAGTATACCATTGAGACTGCCGGGAGACGTTTGTGGCACAGGCCTAGTGTTGTTTTGTTTTGGAGTTTTTCTTAACGTTAATATTTCGTAGTGCCCGGCATCACCACGCCGTGTCGCCTCGCCCGAAGACGAGAGGTACGACCACCCGGCGATGACCACTTCCCATTACGAGGTATGATTATAAAAATTACACAAGACAGGACAAAATATAGGAAGAGAAGGGGTCTCACTACTAAAAGCTAAAAAAATATGTTTTTTGCCTAAAATATTAGATTTTTCATTATATTTCACATTTTTTCTTGAACATTTTTTTTCCTTTTTCAGCCAAGAGCTGCGAGGTCTCCGGAGGCGGCATCTCTGAGGCATTCGGTGTCGGCGCACAGCGTCAAGGTGGGTTCGAGGCTTAGGACATTTTCTTTTGATTCCTTTCGTCTATTTGATGAGACGGAATCTCGTCGACTTAGACTATGGACCGGTAGTTAACACTCTCCAAAAGTTCCTCCCCCTTCACGAGCGTCATCGACATTACCGACATTGACGACGCAAGTGCGATAAAATTTCCCTTTTACTTCAACTTCAAAAATTGCTGATATTTCTCGGTAAAGTCAGATTGTCAAGATTTGTCCAGATTAGGATCTGTCGAGTGTGTTCATCAAAATCGGTTGGGCAGTTTTTGAGTTATACATTTTGCTTCTTGAAATTTGTCTTTTAATAGACCTACCATCCATGGGACTGAAAGTGATATGATTCGCCGCTCGTAGACAGGGCGTGGCCGGCATTTTAAGAATAAAATATCACATCTCTATCTGATATATTTCAGGACTACGCGACGAGCAATGGCGAATGGAGACAGTACGGTGCGCCCGCGCAAGACTGTTACGAGCGGAGTGATCGGTGAGTGATTTATTTCCATACTCTTTTTTATACATTTAACCATAATGGAGCGTGGTGTTTATTTTTAACTACATATAATTCCAGCAGCGATACGCACTCTGTCCGGGAATGGGAGAGGGGCGAAAGAGGCGAGAGGGGGGCCAATCCGGGGGGCAGGGAGTACTCCTCCGCGGTTATGACCGAGCGGAGGGGTTTCACCAGGCGACCCGTCGCCAGGGTAAGGTCGCTCTATCTTCTCAAATGATAACACGAAGCCACGACCTACAGGTAGATCAAAAGGGAACTGTCGAATACACAAAACACGTTTATCTTAAATATATTTCCAGAGTTCGAATCTGCTGTCGGCTGTTCTTTGTTTGGTGAAGGAGCTGGACTACCCGAGCTTAGAGGTCGCGGAAATGGCTGTCAGGTAGGAAAAATACATTTTCTCGTTTAATTCAGTTAATTCTCTTAAAATACCAACCTATAGAAATTAAAACTATTAAAGGTATATTAAAAAGCAGGTTTCAACTCTAGGTTTCGCTCGAGACGAAACCCTTGCAAGGGCTAAATGAATTTGAACCTTATGCCTCACTACTTACGGCAGCTATTTGAATCCACGACGCAAAATACTCTCTCTCTCTCTTTCATGTGTTGAGTGTAGGGAATCACTGGATATAAGCAGTGACGATTAATAAGAGAAGTATAGACGAAAAGGGAAAAATGGTCGTATTCTATTTCTTTCTCACTTTCTCACCGAAGAATGCTTAAATGTTATGCAAAAAAGTGGTTCATTCGATTAACCCCTATCCGTTAAACCCGAGTGTTAAGTTGAGTGTCAAACGTTAACATATAGTTTATTTGGTGTCTTATATGTCCAATTACAATTCATTAAACACAACGTAAAAGCTTTTTTTATTAATTTACCAATTAAAATTTGGATCAGATTTTTTAATCTGTGTTACAGTAGGCATTGTTCCCTAAAAAGTAAACGCTTCACACTGTTGTGTTCAGTACTCTGTGGAGAATATATTTCGTTAAAAAAATATTTAACTAAAGGTACCTAATTACTATATTTTGGTAAATCAGATGCACATAATATATAAATACTCGTGGAACTAGTATTTATATTTAGTTTTTTAAGTACTTGCACTCGTATGGTCTGTCTTTTACTGAATACGTTTAAATTTTTCAGATGTCGCATGGATGAGTTGGCGAATAGCCAGTGACACGAAAATAAGGTCTTTACGATTGATCTTACAATTATAATGGAATGGTACAAAGCGAGGGCAATTTTGTCAAATGTTGCCAGTTTTGTAATCGCAAATCGCTAATGCGCTGGAACTTTGTGGTACTAAATCTGTAACAATACATTGACTGTCTTATTGCTTAGTTTTTATAAAATAATTTTAAATATTTTCAGACGTTACTAAACATAAGTGAATTTTAATAATATTTCATAAAAGCTTTTCTTTCAAAAAAATTTAGTTGCATACTTAAGAAAGCGCGTTAGCAATTTGCGACACGCATACAAATAATTAACATTTAATCTCAAAGGATACCCCAATGCCCCAATGCCCCAAAAGTTGGGGGAAAATAATGCAATTGTGATTTAATGTACATATAGATTTTAAATTTGCATGAGTTTATTTGTGCATGAAGTTTTGAATTTTAATTATACACACAAATATAATTTTACTGTCATTAGGGTTTTTTTTTCTTTATTACATTTTCTTTTATATGGTTTTTAATGTGTTACAAATTGTTACCTCGTCTTAATCTGATAAATATGTAACGCAAAAAATATTTGTATTATATCATAATTTGACAGATGACAGTTGACATCATGTAGTTGACCATCATAGAATGTCATTTAAACTCACGAAATTCCAACGATAGAATCGTCACTACAAAAGGTACTTAAGAAATAAATTAGCTGTCAGGCGTCAGATAACTGTCAATAATGATGTAATTGAAAGTAAATTATCAGCGATTGTTAGATTTAAATATTCCACCTTAATTTGCTTTTGATGGATTTTTATGTATTATACCATTACTAAGGCAGAAACATTAATTTGTACAATTATATATTTGTAGTGCGTAACCGTCCTCGTAATTTAGTTAAAATATACTATATTATATGTCTCGCTTTAATTATATGTTAACGATGGATGGCATGATGTATTCACTATTTCTGGTGAAGTTTCGCTATGGCCATCTAATCTAATAATATGTGTAAAAGAGGGATGGGTCGCAATGCCTAGACACCTGAATAGAAAGATAGGTCGGTTGAAAAACTTAAAAAAGAAATCAAAAAAATCATAAATATGAATGATCTGGTATTTTTTTAACGACTACATTGCTTTTGGGAGTTGTCTATGTCCTCTTCAAACGTGTAGTGTCGAAACGCTTTAAACATTATTACTGAGACTGCTTGCCTTTGCTTAAATTGGTCATGTGACCATGCATGGCTGAATCTCACAATTGGCTTTACATGTTGAGACCATGCGTCAGCTGACGTCACTCCCATACAAATACTGGCACTTGAAAGTCCATTAAATTAATTCACTAAACCATGCTTAAATCGCTCCAGAACCTTTACTACGTATCTTCGTACTCACAATACGAATTGGATAAGAATTTGAAATGGCGTGTAAATTTGTCTAAACACAATCATTTTGTAAAAGGTCGCCAACGCACTTGCGGGCCTTCTAACATTGTGTCCATTGGCGTATACGCACGAGCGTCCCGCTCGTTTGCTTCATACAAAATAATATATCATCACATTGATCTACATCAAATTAAAATTAAAATCACAAAATAATCTTTAATTTAATAGAATATTTTTTAAAATTAAATGCCATACTAAATATGTTTTGGCACTTGGCTTGAAAATGTTTCATTTATTCAAAATATATTAGTCCTAATCCATATAGAACGGCCATTTTGACTTTGACAAGCTAAAATGTTAAACTGTATAAATATAAGATGTAAATAATGTAGAACAAATTAAAGTGCTATAACTTGCCCAAGGTATCGTTTTCATTTCACCCTAACTATAAACCCCTAAAAATACAATAAAGAGTAGAGAGAGAATCGAAACATGACATAAGGCGGGAAAGGTAAGTACGTTTTTTAATCAGTGTTCTGTGCTGGGACAGACAAATCACTTTTCGACAAGGGTGACCCATTAACCAGTGATGCCGACTCCTATACTACTATGCATTTATAGCTACTGGAGTTTATATTATTTGGTTTAGTTTTTTGTTAGGTACGAGGCTTAATATAAATTGCAAAGAATCATGCGTTTGTTAAGAAAATTACTAACAATCCCCCTAAAAATCTCCCTGTACATCTTGATTTCGCCTAAATTTGGACGGAAAACCCACTGGCATCACTGACACTAACTTCAACCTACTTATGTCTAGCTTGCATTTAGTATAATGTACAATTAAACTTTGGCCATAAACTCAAAAAAAAAATGTGTGTGTGACAGCTACGACGCACGATTGGAGTTTACTCCTTACGAACGATAATTATTATGTATATCGAATAGAAAAAAAGGGTAAATGAACGCATCTGCTAAAATGATAAGAGAAACAAACATATATCTGTAATTATTTGGATTATTTATATTACTTCAATAAAGCGTATTACATAAAGTATGTTATTTAAAATAAATCTTGATTTCTATACAAAACGGCACGAACGACTTCCATACTTTATAAGCTGTGGTGTTTCCCAGGCTTATAGTTTCGGATTGTGTCAAATGCACTGCAGAACAAAGATGGCGATAATGTTCTGTGGCTGTCGACCATATTTTCATACTAAAGGTGGTAAGAATATATGTTTTTATAATATAAATTTTTGTAGTAGTAATAAAACGTACCTACATCATCTATGCCCAAATAGGATTTTCTTTCTGTGACCAAAGTTACCTTTATAGTAAGAGAATAATAAGAATGAACAATCTTTTTAGTTTTAATTTCACTGACCATTACTATTGACAAAACTCTATGGCACGCTAGACAATCTACTTTTATTTTTTACACCTGTCAACACTGACAATGTTGTAACGTGGCTGTCAAAACGTGAATTCAAAATAGAAAAGTCTGTGTAGTGTATTCCATCTCATTCTTTTACACGTTCAATCCTACAGATATATATGTTTGTCTCTTTCTACATAACGCCTCAACTTTTCGTGTTACACTTGATTTTACTCCTCATAAAATTTCCGTACCGGGCCTTATAACTCAAATCGTTTCTTAAGGAGTAAACTCCAAAAATTACCTCATAAGTCACGACTATACGTAGATAGAGTATAGTATATACCATAGTCCGTCTACGCGACTATATATAACCATATACATTTAGACAATTAAAAAGTAAAATCTATGGCGTGACATTATGTGATAGACCACGTTTGACATCGAGCGCCGCTGAAGCGGGAAGAAAAATGTTGGTTTAAAATCAGCGTTTTGGATCTGGTGGAATCGCTCCAGATCTAAGGTATGGAATGAAATAGTTTTAAGGATTTTTAAACTTAATTCTTCTAATGTAAAATTAGAAATATTTTTGTTTAATTTACGATGTTCTATAACATAAATTAGTGTTAAGTTGAATAATAACTAAGTAATACAATTGTATATATATATATGTATATTATATGTCAATAGGATGTGGTTAAAGGCGTATTATATTTATTATTATATTAATTACCTAACGAAAATCGATAGGTTGGTACTCGGACTCATATTTGCGCTTCTCTCAAACCCCTGCCGCTCATCCCCCTACCATACTGCTACAAGGGACTAATTAGTAGTTCAAACGTTACGCAATGCGAAATAAATTAAAAAGGTAAAATAAATTCTAGATGTCGTCGTCATCCGTGTCTGCTGGCGCTGTGGGAGATATAATTGACCTGGATCGTTATATGCGGGCATCAGTCAGACCTTCACCACCTCACAGGTATGTTTGAAGAAATATGACAGGAGACGCAAACAAATCATGTACAATACACATAGTGAGTGTAGGGGTATTCAGTGATGCCAAGTACAGAATGTTCCTCCTAGGACCAACTCCAATTACCCCTAAATATCGAATGAAAACCCCTAAAGTTTTTGTTGTACACTCGGTTTGAGAGGTTATTGCAAACACGCATCAAAAGTACATTAATCATCATCTTCTTTTTTTGGTGCATTTCTGGACGTAGTCCATTTTACTCCAGTACCTACGCCCTGCAATGGCCTCCTCTGTATCAACTGGGAGACATTGATGATGTCGTCAGTCCACCTAGTCAGTGGGCGGCGGCGCGGTCTTTTGTTCCGATAAAAGTACCTTGAGTATCCTTTACACGGGGGAAAACTATAAAGCTGGACTTTGTCGACCATGTCTCAGGGTAGCTGAAGTCAATCACCCAAATTTCCAGAAACGAGCGTCTCGTCGTGGACGCTGGTGCTGTGGGTCGAAGACCAATATCGTTGAGTTCGCTTCAATCCGATGAATCTGTTCATTCCCAAGGGGTTGAGTCAAGGCCGAAGGGTTTCATTGAGCCTAGGCCCCAGATGGCCACGCATAAGAGGTTTTCTCACGACTCTGGCGTCTCTGATGGCAGCCGTGTCAGACGGAAACGGAATAGGTAAGTACCAGTGTTTCCCAACCCTGTGTCATGGCCCGTGGCCCACCTGCACCTTAGCCTTTCGAGAATTCTTATGCACCAATATAAGTTAAGTGATAGGTGAATAAAAATAACCTAACGACTACCATACGGAATGACATACAATTGTAATATTAACCAAAGTTGGGACTTGTGACACTTGTATTATACTGAATTTTATATATTAAATCCTAATCACTATATATTTCTATAGCTTTCGCCATCTGTTGTTTAATTAATAAATTAAATAATCAAAGCTGTAATTCAAATATCAAATAGTTAAAATAAAGATTTTTCTATTTTGCTGCACTTTGAGAGAGCTTTAGTCTTTATCTAGATTTGGATTGCCTCGTTTAACAATCAAATTGCTCCCCTGTGGGGCGTGGGCCTCACATTGGGAAACACTGGTATATAGAATATATTGTTAGTTCGGTAGCATACGTTTGGATGGAAGTCACGTGGATGTTTTCTTACTTAAAAAGATTGTTTGTGCTGGAAATGGAACGCTGGTCAACTTGAGACCTGCCAATCCTCAGCTTCTTGTGCATAGGACAGGTTGAGATGTTGTTTAATATTGTTAGAGAAAAGAAAGTGCGTTCCTTGGGTAGCTTATAGAAATAATAAAATCTATATTTATTCCGAACAAATGTATTTATTAAGTTTTATAAATATCCGTAAACGAAAAAGAAACGTCACTTTGACAGGCATCCGACAGATTGCAGTAGCAAATACCATTCGCGGCAGTCGTCAATGAAGGAGTTTCGCGTGATATGCGAACAGACGCTCAAAGAGCAAAGAGAGCAAATCGCCAAGGTCACGGAGCTGTGTGAGAGATTGGCCGCACCCAAAGCGAATTCTTCGGAACCTAAAGGTTATCGGAATTGACGTGAATGTCGTGTTACACTATTTATAACTCCAGAACGGCTGAACCGATTTGGTTGAAAATTGGTGGGGAGGTAGTATACAGTTTTCGCGGGACGTGGAATAACAACACGCAACTGACAGCTATACGTAATGTTATCTATGGTTAAGTATGATTGAAAATTTTACAGTAAGAAGTTATATAAGTTGATTAATTTCGAATTTCTATTGGCTTATCGTGCCCATATTATCATTAACATCGGCACGACGAGCAAGATGATCCGATAAAGCCGTAATACAATAAATGGCTGGACCGATTTTGATGAGTTTAAATGGATTCGAGTATAATTCAGATTATTTGCACTTAGACGTTTTTTTATTGTTTTTGTAATTTTGAAATTTTAAATTTAAGATGTGTGTACAGGACAACGTCTGTCGGGTCCGCTAGTTACTTATTAGGTAATAGCTGTGTTCTGCGGTTCCCGATTTATTTATTGATTAATGCAGTGATGTAACTAAATAATACCAACCTGCTCAGTTCGGACATTTAATACCCATGACTCCTTTCATTTCCTTTCTATCTATCGCTAGATGTGCTCTGAGATTCCAACGTTAATTCGGTAGCACGAACTTCTACAGTCTAAAGCTTTAAATAGACTTTTTATTTCAAAACTTTTGAACAGATATTGATGACTTCTATAAAACTGGAGTACATTGCTCTATTGTTAATTGCAGTATATACGAATCTTTCAACGTGCTTTTTTGACAATTATAATATAGCCTATGTTCGTCGTAGGAGGGTTCTAATGGTGAAATAATTCAAATCAGTCCTGTTGGAGTCTATTTAATGCAATCAAATCTTTCCTATTTATAAAATTAGTGTAGTTGTATATAATAAAATAATTAAAACAGTATCATTACGACTAAGTTAAATGACGGTTTGTAAATTTGTTATCTGTCACAGACTAGAAAAATCATACTTCTAACTTGTCTATACCACTTACTAGGGACTCGAGATTTTCGTTGTTTGTTTCGTTGTTGATCCCCAGGTGCTGCACGATTTGGTTCGTCATTTCTTGCAGCAGAGGAGTGTAACTTGCCCCCTTCCATTCCTACACAGCTCGATATAGGTTCATTTAAGCGGCGGTTAGATAAGCATCTCCTGGACAGGCGTACTCAGCAATAGGCCGCATTCCACCTGATAGGGATTGTAGTCTAACGTGACTATGTTCAGTTCTGTATAAAAAGGACAAAATCACTTCATGACCAAATGGTCACGTGACAGCATCGTTGCATAGGAGACAGATCTATGGTCGCTTTGGTTTTTAATAGAACAACATGATTCACTAGACTACCCAAGCATAATTAATTACGAAACGGAAAGCGCTTTGCTGGGAGAGATTATAAGAGTTCCGGACGATCATCACCGCTGCCGGGAACACTGTCCAGCATCAACAAGCTCCGTAGCTAAAGAGCGACCTATTTGTGAAGCGTATGGGGGGAGGGGAGGGGTAGTATACTATAATTCAAGGGTGGATTAATGGATAGCAGAAGATTATATAATAGCTTTATAATATTTCTCGTTGAAATTTGGCCATGTATGGGCTGTAAATAAATACATAAATATTTCAGTGAAGAAACAATCGCTTCCAAGCAGCGACTCGAGTGAATTAAGTTCGTCGACAACTACGCTCAGTAGACACAAACGCAAAGACAAGCATTTGGTAATAATACAAATATCAGTGGTGCTACAACCTTTTTAGGTCTGTCAATCTAATTGGCGAAGAGGTGATCAGCCTCCTGTGCCTGACAAACGCCGTCGTGTTGGGTCGAAAAGAAATTCATTAACGCACAGCTGGAGTTGAGACTCAGGGATGAGAGTCGCACCCTGGAGCAACTAGGCCAACGCTGCTGAGGACCATTATCACCTACTTGCCTATTAGACTGACAAATGATCATGGAACAGATACATAAATCTGAGGCCTTAAAAAGGTCGTAGCGCGTATTTTTTTATATTTCACTTTCCCTGGGGAACAAAGTCGTAAAAGCAAAATCTATCTTTTTCAGGAAAAATAAAAGAAGGTAATGCTATTATTACTAATTTACTAGAATACTAAGTACATTACATATACAAATATATTTTTCAAATGAAAGCAATTTTTTTCTTTTTGACGATTTAAACACTGTTGTAATGTATCTCTCTATTTGTTTTTAAACTGTCGCATTAGCTTTATTGATTATTTTTTGTTTACAATCTAAGCTAAACTATCTTTGTGGTTGTTGCGATCTATTATTTTATTTATTATTTATTTTATTAACTCTTCGTTGCATCACAATATAAAAATTGTACATAATTAAATGAAAAGGAGGGCAACTGGCGGCCTTGTCGCTTTCGAGCGATCTCTTCCAGGCAATCTCTGTGAGAAACGAAAAAAAATGTATTAAATTATATCTAGGTATTTCAGGAATAAAAATTAGGTAAACGAGAATTGTGCACAAAATAATTTCTTTAGAATAAAGACATACCTAGTGTTTTCTTAATAACATTTTTTTGCAAACATTTTGAAAAAAATTACAGTTATTATCGTGACCCACAACAGTTGTAAAGTGCTTTACGACTTTGTTCTTCGGGACAAGCGATTTGGTAGAAACGTTTAAAAGGCTCCGGATGTTAACCGAATGAATGTTTCTCAGTCTGAATCGTGCAAAACCTACAAAATAATAATGACGAAATTGGACGACTTGAATCGCGTCTTCCGTAGGCCATTGCCGCCTGCCTCTTCGGGGAGCGTTTCTGTGTGCGACAAACTTGTCAATACGGAGTTGAGGAATCAGGTGAGTTTGACTCCTGTGGTGCATCATTTTAATACAATATTTTAGCTTCATTATGAATACACAAAGAAATAAAAATCTTTGTGTTTAAGTACCTTGATATCCTTACACAAAATAAATTTCAAATATTCAGTATTTACAATATTTACCTACAAACTAATAATTGATAAATAAAAAATCAAAACAAAGTCCCTGTGTACGTTTAATGCTGGCAGTTCCTCGCTGGATTGCGATACTTATTCGTTGAAAGTAGGTACCTGCTCTGGGGTCACCTATCAGGCGCCAACTTAAATTATAATTATTTAATTAATAATTTAACCCCACGAACCGAGAGAGGGAAGAAAATCAAAGGCCCTGTAAAAGTGAATAAACAATATATTTTCTCATAGACAGTGTTGAGATGTGAAGAGCGAAAGCTGGAAGTGACCAGGACCAACGAAGTGGACATCGCGCCGAGGCAACGGCATAATGTTCTTGTGCACAGGTATGCTGAAGAGCGTACATGGCCCAAGAAGCGCTTTTCTTGGGTTCATTTTGTTCTGTTCTTAATTGGACAGCCGTTGGAAGTGTCAGGGTCGCTGTTCGTTAGGCTGGACTGGAACTCGATCTGAAGTATTTTCGAACCACCCCGGCCCCCTAAGATCAGGTGAGCCCACTGCAAACATCATCCTAACCCGTTGGTGCGCGAAGCATCAACTACTACCCCTTCCCGATAAAAAAGCCCCGTTGGAGTCTTCGACACGTCTTCGGCAATAACAATAGCTAATGGAAAATTAAAAGCCGCCCGCGCGACAAAGCAAAAACCGCCTTCCCTTTACTTCATACTTCGCTCACCCATGTAAGCTTCCATCCACCCCTTAAGGCCCTTAGTACTTGTTCACGTTGGAAAGCGCGGGCGCGGCGGCGGGTGCGGCCGATGAGAAGTGGCGAGTTGGTGTTCACATTGGCCGACAGGCATTTGCGCGAGTGTGACTTGTTGTCAGAGATTGTAAACATGGACGACATTCTTTTATTTTTAACCGAAAATTCATATCTAAAGTGGGAGATAATAAAAAATAGAATTGGTGTGCACGAAATTAATAAAGAAAGAGAACGACATCGACATTTGAGAGACATCCTTCAAGACTTTTTACATATACCAGGATGACTGTCAACTGTTTTGATTACATATTGGATTCAGCACAAATAAACTCTTCTGTATTGAAAGGCATGCTGAAGACGTACCACCGTTTCTAGCGACAAGTTCAAACTGGTTGAACTTAACTGACGTCGCGAGTTAACCGCGCGCTCCGCCGCTAGTTCGACGTGAACACAAACAAACATTTCATGCGTTTGATATAGCCGCGAGCGGAACGCGCGCGCCAGTCGCTTCCTTGCCCGCTACTTAGACCGCACGTGCGTTTCGTATGTGAACACTTGGATATTACGCCATATTTTGATATTTCGTGACCGCGCCCGCGAGTCAACGTGAACAAGTACTAAAGGTCAACATCGAGATTCCATTATAAATAACCCAAATTTGTTTTTTTTAACTTCAGTTCGTAATTGTAACACACCTTAAGATTTATTGGAAGTTTGTACCAACGCTGTTCTTGAAAGTCAATATTAAGCCGAATAATTCTTCTCATCCAATAGTCTGGTGGAGAGAGACCGCTCGTCCGTTTGTTCTGGGTCCGCCATTGACTTAGAAGATCCAATACAGGTGAGTTAAATATATTCTATTAAACGAAAATAGCATTCAAGAGTCATAATAAAGAGTAAGCTGTAATGGTGGAGTATAGGTGTCAGGAGTACCTATACAGTATATGTAGTGTATGTATAAGATCGCTAAGCCCTACAGTACCCTAACACATAAATAGTAAATATATAAATGGTAGAGGATGCCTGCATCAAGAAACCTAAGTTCATCAGAGGTTCATGGTGGTGGGATTTTCTCAAAGCTTTCGGGCTTACGATAATTAGGGTCTGTAAATAAAACAGAGAAACGTTCAAATCTGATTTATTGTTATAAGACATCTTAATTACTACTTACGTCTATTCACATATACATTATTCTCGTGAGCTGTCGGTGTAGGGGAACCGAGGGTAATGGGAGCCAGAGGGTAATGGGAGCGGTGCGCCTAAAGACTAAACTACAGCTCGTATTTACTCAGTTGCCACTTAGACCCTTTCGGCACACTGCGTTTGTGTCCCCCCGCGCCGCTTGACTCGCCACTGCCACGTGTGATGTGACCCCGGACGCTTGTCAATTTTGTAGTCCGCGCTTATAAAAAATACGAAATTTCAAATTGCCAGGTATGTATGAAGATATTTGTTTGTTACAATCAAACCTTTTTATTTTATAATTAATGTTATTAATTTTGAGTATCTTTACGTATAATTTCGTTACAAGCTAGATGCAGTATTTAATTTTATTAAATTTCAAGATGGTGGTAGTCGGGTAATTAGAGCTTATTAGGCTCTGATTACCCCAACATTCTTATCAAAATTATTTTTATTCTTTAGATATCAAAATGCCAAGAAAAAGAGAACGCACCACTACGAAAGCATCTTGGACCACTACCTAACATAACTAACAAAAATAAGACATCTAGACAAAAACAACATTCAGTAATTTTGTCCAGCACGCCAATGAAAGCAGTATTTGAAGAGAAAGAGAAGAAACGCTTAGAGAAAAAAAATAAAACTGAAATCAGTACAAAGAGAAAGGGAGAAACCATCAACAAGAATAGAAAATGTAGAGCAGAAAAGGGAAAAAAACTAAAGAAGGCAATGAACAAAAAAGAACAATGTAACAAGAGTTAAAAAGAAACTTTTTGAGGATGAAACGGAGACGTCTGAAGACGAAGATGTTGAGAATCTTTGCGACGATGAGTCAGAATATTCAGAAGAAGAGACATTGTGTGCTATTTGCTGTGATATAGGAAAAAACAATGAGATGTGGTACCGTTGTAGAAGTTGTGGTAAATGGGCACATAAGCAATGTTCTGGTTCTGAGAGCCCAGTTGATTATATTTGCGTTTTTTGCTTAGATCCTTAAAGTTAAATGTTACACGATTACGTTATATTAAATTTTATATGAATAAGTGAGATCCAGACTGAGATAGAAATCTTTGAGGCTGATTTAATAAATAAGTAGCTCCCGTTACCCATATGCGAAATTATAGGCTAATGAGAGCGATCCTGTTTTTTTCTTTTAAGTTTATTTGTGGCAAAATGTCAAATTATGTTACGTTAACGCTGTGATTAAATGATAGTCGAATAAGTAAGGATTTAGTTTCTAATAAAAAGTTAATAAAGTATCAATAAATTTGGCTTTTATTTAACTTTTTCCTTAGTAGGCTCCAGTTCCCCCCACCTCCCCTATCGCGCATCTTCAGCTGGTGTTTCGAACAGCCACGTGAGCCGTGTTAGAAGTTGGTGAATGATGTACGTAAATTATGGTCACAAAGATAATTTTTTTATTTTAGTTTTCAATTCACGATACCGCAAATAATTATAATATTAATTAAATTTCAGTTATCACAAGAGAAACAAAATGGCGCAAGTGTGCGAGGGGGACGGAGGACATCCCTCTGCTCGCTCTGTCGCTCGTACTGGCGCTCTTTATGGCGATGTTTTCCGAGTTATATTAACGAAGGTGTATGAATAAAATATGTACCTATTGAAATATTTTTTACTTAATTTCTGTACCACAATGAAGGGTACGGTGGTTGACATACAATTTTATCTTAAAATAATATGCCCTGAGTACTCTCGAGTTTCGATATATTCTTATCAGGGGGGACCAATTCCAGCCAGCAAAAGCCAGTCGTAAGGATAAGTAGGAAATTAGTATAGTAATAATGTGACGTAAGACTGATGTACTAACAAATACTTTACCTTAAAATAGTTCACAAGTCGCACAAACACTCACTAAGTAATAAGTCCAATGAGATTGTGCTTTCGTTAGTGCATATATTTGTCTGTCAAGTCTTTGATTATATATATTGTATATTTCAATTTAAAGCTCAGGCTTGATATAAAATAGATAGTTTTTGAGATTTCCGCCAAATTCTGGAGAAGACATGTTCATAAATACAATTATCAAATTTTAAACATTATTGACAAATTCATCGATATTAAATCGTTTATTTGTAACTGTAACTTCGTGTACATTAGGATTTATTAATAAATAATAATAAAATAGACACGCAAATGTCATATTAATTATCATAAAGTCGTAATAATAAGAACAGTTAAGTTATTTATAACTATTGTCAAAACTTTTGGTCCATGAAGGAAATCTTAAAAGGCCAATTCCCTCTTCACCTCAAGAAAATTGTCTAATTGACACTTGTATTTTACCTACTCTTACGTGGACTTACAATACAAAAATAAAAACTAAACTAGTAGCATGCCAGAAAGCAATGGAAAGAAGCGTATTAAAAATAAGAAAAATACATAAAATTAATAGCGAAAAATAAGACGAAGAACAAAAGTTATATATGCCCTAAAACAGAAGTGGCATTGGGCGGGGCATGTACCTACCGAGATACACCGTTAATAAACCGACACCGACCTTAAAGACAACTGTATGGAAAGGACCAAGAGGAAGAAGGAGAAGAGGTCGCCCTAAAAAAAGGTGGATAGAAGAAATAGAAGCGGTAGCAGGAAACGAATGGAGAAAGAGAGCCATAGACAGAGTCAGTTGGAAAAAGCTGGAGGAGGCCTTTACCCGTGAAGGGGTTCCGATCGACGGTACTGAAGGAAGCTAGAATATAGAATAACAAGCAAAAGAAAAAAAAATATGTATAAAAATGTAAAATAATCTAAGCTGTGTATTATAATTTGCTATTGTCATGATTGGAAATAAAACGGGCTTTATTATTATTATTATTATTGTCTAAATACTCTCCCACGGTATAAAGACACCTTCTAATAGAAAAAGAAAATTTTTAATAATTAGATGACGTTCCCAATAACATCGTATTTAAGTACATAATAAAATAACAGCTGATGGCGGATGTTGCCGCCATCTCCTTGTTATCGAAATTTAGTTCTACATTCCATTCCATTCCAAACATTATACACCACTCATCAAAGGTGACTGACGCTAATCAATAATTTTTATTCTATGATTTCAAAAAGTTTGCTCACGTCAAAGAAATTTATCAGTTGACAGAAGACAGGCCGACGAGAAAAAGAAGATGAAAACCTGACATGTACTGACAGAACAAAAGAAAAATTTACAGTGAAACGATGGAGGAATAATAGAAAATTGAACCATTATGAAATACTTGAACACGAAAATATGAAGAAGATCCGATACGGAATATTTTGCCTTTTATATCTTCTCTTCCAGGTAAGTCTTACTTGTTAGATGTTCATTATGGAGTGACTGGGCCGGTAAATACTCTTTAAACTTCTTGTAAAATTATTATGCGAGCTTACGCTGGTCAAATACAATTTGAAGTGGCTCACTTCACCCCACAATAATTTACTTGCGCAATGACTTAACATACTCCTGACCGTTGAAACTCATCATTCTTTACTTATTCTTCTTGTAGCGACAACTTGCCGGACCAACGGACGTGTTATGCAGCCGCTGCTGGATTTTACCTCAGCCACTCTGGCCATTTATCAGCTGCTTCACTCGACCTAGCCTCCAGCAGAGAGAACTATTGTTCTCGTCGATCAGCACTAGGTCTCCAATATTAAGATACAGCGTTCTCTCTCCATTTAGTGCGCTGCTGCACATATTTCAGCACATTTTTGCCATATTGTCCAAGTCTTTTTCTTTTTCTGGTGCCATTCTATTGCTAAAGGCTGGCTGTGAACAACTTGACTTGCCCGGTATTTTGCGCTAGTCTTAAAAGCACCTCGGCGGGTGTGATGCCAGTCCACTCCTGTTAACCAAAAGTGCTCAATTCTCTGGTATCTTCGTAAGTGACTTAAGAATTCACCAAGACCTTTAGAGGGTTAATGGTCTTCCGATAAGAAAGTTGCTTGCGTTGTTTGTTTAGACCAAGCACACAGCTCTTCTATTTCATATCCAATAATTACAAAAGTAGAATTGATATCTTAGCTTCCTTCATTGCCAATGGAACCCGTTCATGGGTAAAGGCCTCCTCCAGCTTTTTCCAAATATCTCTATCGATGGCTTTCTTTCTCCATTCGTTTCCTAACGCTTCTATTTCTTCTTTCCGCCTTTTTCAGTTAGGTTTCGTGACTTTTCTTAATAGGCAAGTAGGTCATCTGCCTTCTGTGACTGATACACGCTGTCGATTCTAGGGTCTATGGCATACGAGTTTCCTTCATACGAGCGAGTGTTATAAGTACATTGGCACTGGAACAGCCGGGGTTTGAATCTACCACTAGTAACTAGACTAACACCGACCGCATCTCCTACCTCATTTACAACGGAGAGTTTTCAGAGAGTTGTTCGGATTGACACCTGCAGCTGAGTTTCATCAGACGTCGATGCAGAAAACGATATTTCACCCGTATCCCTTCCACACCTGAGCGTTCAAAGGAAGTTTTTGGGTACCACCACTATGTGGAACCCCACATGAGTAATTCCAAACCAATTTGACTTAGGGTCCTTCAAAAAGCGTACCACATTTTAAAAGTCCGGCAACGCACTGGCGACCCCTTTGGGAATGTGAGTGTGACAGTGCCACTTTACATGGTCGGTTAAGAAAAGCGTTCCGATTCTTAAAAGGGCTGTCAACGCACTGGCGGCTATATAAAAGAATTAAAGCTTTGCAAATTGAAGTTTTTGATTCGGTCATTACAGACTCTGGTTGCAGGTGGCGGCCGCAGTAGCCTGCAAGCGGAAATCATCCTGTCGTCCGCCTCGCTGTCCAGGCGGCTGCAAGCCGAAGTATTGGTGACCCGGTCCCAGAGGTAATACTGAAAAATAGTCTGAGGAAACTATATTCATTAGATTAATTTCTAGAATACAAGCCAAAGAGTAAGGTTTTCTCTTGTGGTCCACCTCAGGATCGTATTTTAAGTTTAGGTTTATTTTTAGCGTATTCAATCGCGTTTAAACAATTCGACTCGGCCACTTGTCATACCAATTTTATAACTCAGTGATGGAGTTGTATTAGAGTACGATTGTAGGAGAGATACGAATAGCATTTTTTTTGTTTGTTTATTAATAGGTTGATTTACTCCTAAACCACACACGAATGAGTCACTGTCAAGTACCAGTAAGCTCCAATCAATCGAATCACTTCTACTGTTTGTGGGTCAGATGGGACCGTGACATTGTAAACAACAGCAAGTATTATATTATATATATTTTATTGGTTTTTACACAACAAATAACAAAAAATAAAGGGAAACAATGTACATGTCTTGTACACAAAAACACTTGAAAACGTTACGTTCTTGTAAACAAATTCGTTAGTTATTTTCGCAACTTTCCAACATAGAAATAATATTACACACTGATCAGGACAATAAATATATAACCAGCGATAGAATGATCGTAATAGTTAATTTTGTTTATTATATTACAGAAAAAAAATGCAAAATGTAAACTCGTGTAATTGTCACTTACTCAACGCCGCGATTTTGACGCTCTTATCTATGTCTAGTGCGGAGAGTATCTAACTACGATCCACGCATTTTCATAGTTTTGTTTCATTTATATTTCAGTGCCCCAGATGGGGCCCGTCAGGTTAAAGATGTAATAAATAAAAATTTGCTAAGATTGTTGACCTGTCCCCATTCGATTGCTTTGAGAATCTTTTAGACTCGACTATATTTTTAGTTTCGTGCCGAAACAACTTAAGCTTATGCCGAATAATCATAAAATGGTACTTTGTGAGACAATAGATAAAAATTAATACATAAAAAAAAATTACTCCTTAATATCATTTAATAGAAGAAAAATATTCGTTTCTATGAATCTGTTAATTTGAATTTGTTCTAATCAATTATAATTAATTGCAACAGTATTTAACATGGTATGGCACTATCAAAATAAATCGCAATTTGTCTGTATCTGAAATCTCATTTGATTTCATTAATTTTACGTCTAGGAGATATCAGTTTTAAAATAATAAGTCTTTTATTTCCGATAGTTATACACTTAAACACATTTATGTATATTTCTTTATTATTAAATATCTGTGTGCCCATTTTGGCAAGAACGGAAGAGAAGAACTGGCTATAAACTCTCCGCCACTCTTTTTAATCGCAATGTTTTTTTTTTTTACACAACGTTTGTAAGGAGCTGCAACCATTAAACCATGTTCCACATGACATCTTAAGTAATTAATAATAATAACATCAATTAAAAACAAAGAGTTGTCCTCTATCAGCAGGAGGCATGGTGAAATAGGAGCACGCACTTACATTCTCGTGAGAACAACACGCAAACACATAGTCGAAATAATTAACATCACCGCATACACGAATTCAAGTACGACCAGTCACCACAAGTAGCAGCCGTTCGCGAGTATGACGCATGGCCAGCCATCAGCCCCCTCGCCATATTTTAGGGAGAGAGTTTGATTGAGAGTTTGTTCACCACCAAAGCAAAGCTTTTTTGCTTTTAAAAATAGACCAGAAATATTGAATTGAAATGTGTACCATAGATGTGGGATGTATTGACCTGGGCAACGTGGTGTCTGATGCTGGTGATGGGCGTGGTGGATGGCTGCAAAAAGAAGACGATCTGCCGCCCACCACCGGGTGGTAGGCCTGGTTGTGGAGGCCGCTGACATTTGATAACAATTTATCCAATATAGGAGATATATAAAGGTATTGAAAGAATAAAATTTGTAGTTTAAGAAACATACCAAAACTAAATCATTTAAAACTGAAATTATAGATAAAAGTAAAACTTGAAGACGATAAAAAACGAAAAATGTTAGTTTAAATTAAATAAATTTGTTAACTATGTATATTGTTTAATTTCACTCCATAAAACTAATAAAAATTAAGCTGAATATTTTTCTCTTAATTATTAAGAAAGAAATGTTAAAAGAAAACTTAAAATGAATAATTTATTATCAAGACTTATTTCTAGACTCAAATTGTCTACAGTTTCACGCCTATTTAAGTAAGGTCGAATCCACAATCTCTTCTTTTTTAAAACAATATAAGCTGCTGCGACAAGTGTGATTTCATCAGCCATTGTTGCCGGTTTGTGTAGCCCGTTTAGGAGTCTGCATCATGGGCCATACAATTGCAACACATTGCCCAGCCATCAGCTGCATTAAAATATTTTTGTAATGGCCGGGCAATTAGTGGCCAACAGTGCAGCCATCAATTGCAGCAAAACATGGCCCGTTTAGACGCGCCATAATGAACGATAAATCGTTCGTTTTCAAGTAAAAGACAGAATATAACACTAGCAAAACACCTGGAAATAACAGTCTGTTCCCTATTTCAAAAACTTGAAATGTGTGATTTAAAAACCGGCTCATTATCAAAGCCTTTTAGGGGTCTTGCAGAAATGACGGCCCGTGACTAGTCTTTACAATAATTGACCTATTATTTTGTTGATAATTGACAGAGAAAATAAAATGGCAGAGTGACAGCACACTTGTTTTTTATTCGCTGCGTCTTCCAAAGAGTAAGTTTTATTATGGCTGGTTTATATAGATTCATGCCCTCCAAGTGGCTGGCATTTGCGGTTGGCAGGCATGGCGGTTGGTTGGAGGGGTGGTCAACATGGCATGGCAGGATGTGACTGGCGACGTCAAGTCCGTTACATCTTATAACGATTAAAGCATTATGGATTTAAGTAAATTCGTTATTTAAAACAATTAACCTTAGATATTTGTTTTAAATTTATTGATCTCATTAGCTATATAGTTGTTTAGATGTCAAAATTTGAATTTAGGTGCGGTAATTTTTTGCTTTTAAGAAAATATGTTTCCGATTATAACAGTATGTAAAAAGTATTAGTTTGCGCAATTTGACCATAGATGACGGTTATACTCTATGAAATTAGTAAATACGTTCGAAATAGCTTTAGTTGTGAACTACGAAGCAATAGGATTATACTTACTCTACTAACAGAGTATAATATTAATAAATTTAGACTCAATATCAAAAATTAAGAATTAGCTTACAATGAAGATATGTGTTCAATGTGAATTATGCTATTAATAAATCTTCAGTCCAGGACTAAATATAATACTGAGATTATTCGAAGTTGGTCATGAACAAAGTTATTAATTTCACACCCAAGAAATAAACTGTTTTAAAATATTAACTAGTTTTAAGTATTAAATAAAACATTTTTTTTATATTTTTTTATTTTTTCCTTAAATAACCTGCTCTGCATCAGTAGTTCCTGGAACAAAAAAAAATAGTTAAAAAGGATGTCCATGTCCAATTATTCTAAAATATAAGATATGCCTTATTTTTATGTCAAATTATATTTCTTAATTAAAAATCAAGTAGCGCTACCAATCCTATCGCATATAACCAAATAACATTATATCTGTATAGAGAGATAGCTAGAGACTTAAACACTACAGAGACTGTAAATATTATATGGGATATATAATGGCTCACTTTGGCTATATCTTTATTAAAATTGTTTTCTGTTAATTTATGTTAGCTGTACGATTACGAAATAAATAAATATTAACGTGAAACCGATGTCGGGTGATAGGGGATGGGGTGACCCCGCAGATGTATTTAGAGAAGTACATATTATATGTCTATCCTTTTATGGCAAATTAATATAGCAAACGGTTTACTAGTAATTTTATAAAAATGACTAATTTGTATAATACTTTTATATTTTTTAGTTGAAATTTGGCCAGCTGTAAATATATAAATCATACGTCATCGAGGCAATGCAACAAATTACAACACATAATACGAAGCAACCAGATCAGCTTCAGCTGAATTGAAAATGGGCAGGCCATATTCCTGGGGCGAAATGGATAGAGGAAATAAAGGACAGATCCAAATGGAAAGTTCAAGACAAGGCCTTTGCCCAAAGGGGTCCATAATACCCGGACCAAGCGCATAATAATAAAACTAACGTGATATGTTATACGGTAGTCTCATGCTGACAATTTCTCACTTCGCGAATATGTCCTAAGAGTGGAGATATTACTAGCACTTCATGTTCTGCTTCCAGATACAAAAAATTGTGAAATGGCATAGAAATTACACCGGAATCAACTGTCCGATGGTTATAAAGAGAAACTATTAGGGAAGCTGTGAAAGGCTCTCAATCTTAGAATTCCAGCATTATTTGTAAACCTCACAATATTATCATATGGAGACAATGTTACAATTATGCTAATAGCTAGAAGTTTTTGTCATTGTCATGTTTCTAAAGTGGAGTGCGCTCACGAAGGGTGACCAGTGACGCTGTCTGTGAACTCATCAGACTCAGAAGAAAAGAAGCGAAAAGAATACTGCGTACACCCCCTTTGAGGAATTATAAATAATTTTGAAATTTCAAAAAGTTCTGTTATGCTACAAATAAGTTCTACGTGAGACTCAGCCTTCATACATCTAATAACTCACAGCGTTTGTCCCATAGTTTTAAGGTTTAATCAAAAAAAATTTTATTTCTTAAGAGATTTTAATGTATATTTGTTTATATACAGGCTATGTAGATAGACTGTTTTTTTGTTTTCATATAACTTGGCAACAATATGCATCGATTTCTGGCCAACCCCACCGTTATCGAGATGGGGCTCATAGCACCAGCATCCAAAATCTATATCTAAAAAAAGCGCAGATCATTTCAATTACTTACTTAATAAGAATCCCATCTTTCTTGGTCAGTCTGACGATGCAGTCGTCCGACTCCCCCATTCGCCTAATAGCTCCGCAGATGACGTACATCTTGGAAGTGTCGGCCGCTCTGCCCGTGGCCGGGTCCACATCGGCGATCACCAACTGCACCGAGGCATGGTCTTTTGCGTGGATGAGACGGTTACTGGCCGAGCTGAAAACAGTTAACATTTAAAATTAAAAATGTCCAAACAATTAAATAATTAATTCAAAACAATTATTTAAAAAAGTCCAGATGGTCACCCATAATGCAGCACACATCTTGTATCACTCTTCTATGGAATCAATGTGGTGCATGTGAAACAATATTTTACAACATCTTCCTACTTAACCTAGTTTTGTTTGTGTTTCTATTTGCTCTTTGTAATTTGAAATTTTTATGTTCTAATATAATTGATGTGTAAAATTTGTGAAGTCATATGTTCTTGTCAGTTTTCAGCATTCATGTTGATTAAGGACTTATAAATAAATAAAATCTGTAAGGAATGCTGGAGTTGCAATTTATGACTCATTTTAAACTAATGTGGATATTGTCGCATAACATATGTGTAGGGACCACAATGCATAAATGGAAAATGGTACTGTAAAATCACTCACAATGTCACAATAGTTACAAATTTAAAACTTTTAAAGAAAACAACTGTAGGTGAGCCAGTGAGTGCCTTTTGTAACAAAAAATACAATTAACATTAAACTAGTAAGTTATTTTTAACAATCCTTACTTTAGTTTTCCACAAATTAAACCAAAAGCTCAATGAATTATGAAGTGACTCAATTAATTTATTCATTTTAGTAGTGGTAATAATTCATCATAGTCTAAGTATTATGTAGTATTAAAAACATAAATAAATTGAAAAAGTTTCTGGTCAATGTTCATAATTGTACAGTTACCAATAGGAACTTTATTATTAAACTTTATTAATAATTAATAATAAACTTGACAATAAGCATAAAGCTATGTACTATACTGAGAGGAACGAATTATTTTATTTAAAAAAATTGAATAAACCATCGCAATTTGCTTGTTTTAAAGCCTTACTAAAACATATTGTTCAACAAATAACATATATATTTTAACAATAATAAGTTAAAACTACTAACAATTGATATTTACTAAAGCATCAACCTCATGCGCTCACTATAGACACGTCATTGAGTTAATGCCAGCTTCAGAAACCAGAACGAGCAAAATATGTCTAAAGACAAGTCATGCCTGTTAGTTGAATGGGTAGGCAGACACCCCAGACCTCCACTTGATAATAGTCCTTATATACCTCTCTCACTTCTTTACTTAAATCAACATGTTCAGTACTTATAGCTTTTAAAGTAGCGTGTTATAACTACACAAATAAATTAATAACCTAAATTTTAGATTAAAAAAAATGTTAAATTGAACAAGTTCCATTTTGTCATATTAAGAAGTGAAGAATTCCACAAATGAGCCATAATCAGTTTCAAATGGTCTTGGTTTAGAATTATTATGTTGTTGTATTTTGTTGAACGCAGTGACTATTCATACGGATATATGGATGAATAATAATATTATATGATTATTCTTCCGGATATAATATATATTATTTTTTTATTTATCGATTATTTCCTCATTTTTTAATTTGGAAGTTATAGAATAATCAACATTGAAATTAACCTAATTTCGTGTTGATAGATTATAGGGTTCCGAAAATTTTGAAATTATCAATACCTACTCGTTTGTATTTCCTAATTAGTACTTGTATTTCATTGTTTGCTACTTTCTGTATTATTTAATTGTTACTAGAATAAAGTGTTTACTTTAATATCCAAAAAGTACCCAAAACCGAATCAGAGCACCCCACTATCCATGTGGTCTTGTCTGCCCTACCCCTAGAGTGTATATAAAAAATCGTGACCGCGGAGGAAGAGCAGCCCCCACCCACTGTAACAAACCACTGGCATTACAGGAATGAAATGCCTGTGCTTTGGTACGCAAGGGTAGAGGGGCTGCATATAGCACCGGAGCTGTCCAAAAAATCTATTATTATTATTGTTCGGTTAGGTTAGTATATAATAAAAAATAAAACAAAAAAGAAATATTACCGAACCTATTAATTTCCGGACAATTAAAATATTTAATTGATACGGTTACTGGAAAAATAAATTAAATTTATTCATACGTTTGACGGATGAATAGACGCAGCCTTTGTTGAATTAGTGTTGATCAATAAATTTGACATAATATATTAGTTTTCTTTTGTTCAGGTTAGTTTAAATTAATTAATTTAACAACCTACTTGATAACATGTAAAGTCCATCAAAATGTCGTTAAAAGCACAAATTGCAAAAATAATAGCACGAATTTGTGAACTGTGATTTCTAAGCGTTAGATTTTAAAGTAATACAATTTAAGTGAACACATGCAAAATCAATTTTCAAGCTGCCACACCGCTTCAATATATAAACTATTTTAAAAATTATCATTGAAATTGCATTTACGAAATATATTGATAGATAGAACACATGCATGTTTTAAAAGAAAGTTAAAGAAAGGAAATGCAAGTTATACGTTGAAATACGGTTATTAAAGTAAAACATTTAATATAACCTCAAAGATGCGTGTACTAACCATTTCCTGGGACAGTACAGGTCAACGAATTCTCCGGCGTCGTTCTGCATTTTGACTATCTGAAATTAAAAAAAATAACACTTGTTAATCACAATCACATTCATTTATAGGTTTATATCTTTATAGAAGTAAAAATTACCAAAATAGCACGTGCACTGTGTACTAGAATATCAAAGCGAAAAGAATTTTAGTGATGTTGACTTTCGTTACTTGGCACTTGTTATTTGACAATAATTGGACTTTGACATTGTGACAGTCACAAATGGATTTTCCAAACTTCATCATTACAGACTACACCTATGGTCTATGCTTTACAAACGAATTCAACAAAAAATTTGAAAACGGCTTTGAATACAGTAAAACTAAAAATTTAAAATGAAATACCACTGACATTTCAACATTCTAATACCGTTGAAGGATATATATATATATATTGAAGGACACGTTGGCAAGGATATATATAGTTTATAACGTTTCATAACGCTGCTTTAATGAGAGATATATAAGTTCTACGTACAGTTGTAGAGCTTGATAATACCTTAATATTAATTATTATGTTGTATATGTCACCGTAAAATTGTAAACACCGTTAGATTGTAATCTATCTCGCGAGATTATGAACTGTCGAAATTTAAATTGAAAAATTAATGAAATTTTCTATCATTTCATTTCCAACACTAACTTAGCTATCAATCACAGATTAATTTTACTTCCACAACAACTTCATATAACTAATTCTAAAGCTGTGAGCTACTTTCAACACGACATCATTTCATTCATCAAAACACTGTTTGTTTACATTCAACAAAAAACAAATTAACTAACAAATATGGTGGCGCGGGGCATATTCCGTTCAACCAATCAGTACGCGCGGTGCGTTCCGTTTCACAATTTGACGGTTTCACTTCGATAGATTACAATTTACCGAATAATAAAACGTTAAATCCTAAGCAGTACGTTGAGGTTCACAATCTTTCGACAGTTCATAATCTCGCGAGATAGATTACAATCTAACGGTGTTTACAATTTTACGGTGACATATAAAAACAGGTCAATCTCAAAAACTACTGCACTAAATTTATTGCGTTTTTCACCAATATGAGGAAGGTTTATGTATAATAATAATAATAACGCCCGTTTTATTTCAAATCCTGACAAAAACAAATTATAATATACTGCTTAGATTTTTTACATTTTTAAACATTTTGTTTTTTTTTTTTTTTTTTTATAGAACGGGGGGCAAACGGGCAGGAGGCACACCTGATGTTAAGTGACACCGCCGCCCATGGACACTCTCAATGCCAGAGGGCTCGCGAGTGCGTTGCCGGCCTTTTAAGAATTGGTACGCTCTTTTCTTGAAGGACCCTAAGTCGAATTGGTTCGGAAATCCTTCAGTGGGCAGCTGATTCCACATAGTGGTGGTGCGCGGCAAAAACTGCCTTGAAAAACGCTCAGTTGTGGAACGGCGGACGTCGAGGTGATACGGGTGGAATTTCGTATTCTGTCTCGACGTCCGATGATGAAACTCAGCTGCAGGTATTAATCCGAACAACTCCTCTGAACACTCTCCATGGTAAATGCGGTAGAAGATGCAGAGTGACCCCACATCTCTACGCAACGCCAAAGGATCAAGCCGCTCGGAGAGGGATTGGTCGTCGACGATTCGAACCGCTCTGCGTTGTATACGGTCAAGTGGAAGGAGCTGGTACTGGGGAGCCCCCCGCCCAGAGGTGAGAGCAGTACTCCATGTGGGGCCGAATTTGCGCTTTATATAGTTGCATGCGGTGGCCCGGAGTGAAGTACCGCCTCGCCTTGCTGAGCACACCAAGCTTTTTGGAGGCTAATTTAGCCTTTCCCTCCAAGTGACCGCGAAACTGAACGTCGTTCGATATGTCAACGCCAAGTATTCCAATGCTGGCTGTGGCTTTAAGAAGAGTGTTTTCGAAAAGAGGAGTAGCGACAAAGGGTGTTTTTTTTAGCGGAAAACGCGCAAACTTGTGTCTTCTTGGGGTTAAATTGGACTAGGTTTTGTCTGCCCCAGTCTGAGACTCCACGTAGTAGAGTTTCGACTTCAGACACAAGTTTGTTCCGGTACTCATCAACAACTGCCCGAGAAATACCTGCCCGGCCAGTGTAAAAAATATCCCCAGTGCTGTCATCCGCATAGCAATGAATGTTGCTAAGTTGCAACATATCATTGATATGCAGAAGAAATAGGGTCGGGGATAGAACACAGCCTTGTGGGACCCCAGCGTTCACAGGTTTAAGGTCGGAACATGCTCCGTCGATGACGACCTTGATGCTCCGATCGGCCAGAAAGCTGGAGATCCAATCGCATAATTTCTCGGGAAGCCCATAGGCTGGAAGCTTCGAGAGCAGTGCTCTGTGCCACACCCGATCGAAGGCTTTCGCTATGTCCAAACTTACCGCCAGCGCCTCCCCCCTTGGACTCAATTGCCTCTGCCCACCTATGGGTAAGGTATACAAGGAGGTCACCAGCTGAGCGACCACGACGAAAGCCGTACTGAGAATCGCTAATCAACTGGTGGCCCTCTAGATACCACAAGAGCTGGCAATTAATAATGGTTTCCATTATTTTGGAGAACAAGGAGGTTATAGCTATTGGGCGATAGTTGGACGGATCAGAGCGATCGCCTTTTTTTAGGGATCGGATGTATCGAAGCGGTCTTCCAGCACTTCGGCACAGTGCCGAGCGAGTACAGGTACCGGAAAAGGCGCGTTAAGACCGGAGCCAACTCAGGAGCACAAGTACGCAGCACAATTGGGGGGATACCATCCGGCCCGCTCGACTTATGAATGTCCAAGGAAGATAGTGCTTTGCGGACAGCACGTTGCCGGAATGTGATTTCCGGCATCGAAGAATCACACCGCGAAATGGTCGGTGGTGATCTTCCTCGGTCATCCAAAGTCGAGTTGGACGCGAAGAGACAGCCCAAAAGGTCGGCCTTCTCCTTCGCAGTGTGGGCCAGAGAGTCATCCTCCCTGTGCAGTGGCGGAATGGCGGGCTGACAAAAATTCCCTTGGACAGCTTTGGCGAGAGACCAGAAGGCTCGAGTCCCTGAAGGGAGCTGGGCCAATCTCTCGCCAAATCTGGCAATGTGTTCTGACTTTGCCTTAGTGATTTCCCGTTTGAAGGACCTGGAGGCTGAGTTATATGCTGTTTTAAGTTCGCTGGTATTGGCATCACGAGATTTCGCCGCTTCCGCCCATGCCTTAAAGCATTCTCGCTTTCGACGCGAGGCCGCCTTGCAAGAACGTTTAAACCAGGGCTGAGACTTGCCACCGATCGGCACCGCAGAAAATGGAATAAAGAGTTCCATGCCCTGCAGAACCACTTCGGCGACAGAGGCGGCGACGGAATCTGGAGCTTCCGGCGAAAAGCACATAGGCCCCCAAGGGTAGGACGCAAAGAAAGACCGCATCCCGTCCCAATCTGCTGACTTATAGTGCCAAATACGGCGACAGCCCATAAAGCGGGGCCGTGAAGGGCGCGTAGATGGCACAGTACTCCGGACCACACAATGATCCGATGAACCCAATGGCGGGTCAACAGAGACTTGATAGTTCTCCGGATGTGAAGTCAGCAGAAGGTCCAACAAAGAGGGTTTATGACCATCCACATCTGGTATTCGCGTAATCGCAGGGACCATTTGTGTCAGGTCGTAGGCTAAAGCAAAGTCGTGAAAGGATCTTCCCGCGTGATCGGTGGTTTCAGAGCCGAGCCAATCGGCATGGTGGGCGTTAAAATCGCCAAGTATCACGATTTCAGCGGTAGGAACCCTTTCGAGCAGGGAATCTGTAGCCATTTGGATGTGCTCAATGAGTCGGTCAGTTTCGGTATTTCCGCTATGGGACCTATACAGGCATGCGTAGAATCGCGGATGGTCATCGCAGTCTACGCGCAGCCAGAGGTTAGATAGGTCCCTTCCTTCAAGCGTCCCGAGGCGACGAGAACAGATATCCTCCCTGACGTACACGCAAACTCCCGCCCGCGGCACAAATGAATGTTCCAATTTGTACCCCGGGTAGGAGAGGTAGGAAGTATCAGCCGGGGAGGAAATCTGAGTCTCGGTAAGAAAGAGCAAGGCCGGCTTCGCAGTCTCTAAATGGTAGTGGACTGCGTTGATATTGGAATTGAGCCCCCTAACATTTGTGAAGTCCACGGCGAGCGTGGACGGGGGTGCCTTTGTTGAATTGCTCCGTTTGCCCCGAGAACGATGACTGTTTTTGTTGAGCGCAGAATTGCCCCCCCCAGAATACGAAGGGCAGCCTGTGCGTCCACCACCGGGTGCTGAGTGTCCCGGTGTTGGACGCCCAGAGGGGGATTCTCCACCGCGAGCGCGTGTGGTACCCCCCTGGGGTAGACTCTGTTTGTTCTGCACCTTCATATTTCATATGGGGGGGGGGATGGGCTCCGGGAGTCTCCCTCACCGTACGAAACGCGAGTACAATAAGGCGAACCTATTGCCTCACTTCACGCCGGATTTCTAAGAGACAGTGGTACTGCCCCGGTCGTGCCTGCCCATTAGGCTGAAGCCCGAAGGCAACAGCATGGCACTCCCACTAGGAAGGGGTTGACTGATTGCGCTGATGAAATAACCTCTGTCACAGGTTATTTCACCAGTTGTTTTTCTTTTACTTGTTATCCTATATCCTACCTACGCTGACAAAAATCTAATTATTTCTGTTAGCGTTCCGAATTTTATTACATAAAACAAATACACACTATCAAACGAAACACACTATTTTTTTATTGATTACTTCCTTTCGTAAATGAACCATAATATAAAAAAAGACATAGTTTTTACATAATATTTTCTTTAGATCAGCGCCATCTCGTCAGCTTTCATGTAACTACGATAACAGGTAACAAGTAAGATGTGAGTTCAGCCCTGCGATTCTGTAACTCATTGTTAAACCGTGAGTTCACGACGCACTAACAACGCTCCCTTCGGCACACGTAATTTTTGGAATCTCATGGTATTCTGTTAAGACATTTTACATTACGTCTTGACAAGTGGAGGGAGTT